TTAATGATTGCGCTACACTGATCCTTAGCAGTAATATTGTATTTTAAATCTCAGTAAGGGATTCGTCTTGCGAGTAAGAGTTCAAGCCCTTTGCCTAAACAGCTTAGGAGGGATATTGGATAATATGATTTTGGGAGTGTGCGGTCTCGTTTTTCAGACTTCGGCTAAATAAAAATCTCTACCCTTTTAAGAGTCTGGGGATAACTAGCCAGTATGGCGCACTTATTGGATAGGTTAGTGATACAGTGCCCTATTTATTGTTACGAGATTCGAAGTATAGGGACCATGCTCTCATCCTCGCCAGTGGATGTAGAAGTAATCTGACATGTGGCCCTGAAGAATTCTACCACCGTAAATGCCAGCCACTGAATAATTCTAGCTTCTACGGCTGGCAAGGCTTGCTGTTTGACTGTCGCTTCCATATATCTGTAAAGGAGGACTATGTGTAGAAGTTCAGCATTTTTTGGACACCGGACCTCTGTGTCTCTGTCAGAATCTTTTAAAGGAGGGTTTTGGCACTATGATATGCCATTTTACTATATTTTTAATCAATTTTACTGTCCTGTCTGAGTCTATGACTATGTAGGATGTATAGGTCCTCTCTGTCTACAGGCCAAGGATACCTATACCAGTAGTATATCCCCTCCTATACCTCCCATACAGCTCCCCTCAAACTGTACCGCCCCTCACAAGTCCTCATTCGATCATACACTAAGAGGAGCCCTTTGCCCCTCATTATCTCCCCTCTCCAGCCGACGAAACGCTGGCCATTCGCGCGTGTATAGCAGCCGGGACATTTGCAAAAACCACTGGGTGCAGAACTCTTCTAAAACCGACGTTAGGACTAGATCCGAAGACATAGTGACCCTTGCGAAGCGTTTGAAGAGGCCGGCCAGCTAGGCGCTACAGACTTGTGTGTATCTCGGGAAATTCACACTCTGCCTTTCTAGCCTCTTTCAAGGTCCTTCCCGAAGGTCGTGCTGAAATGTCAGAAAAGTCTTGACAGAGCGTGATTACTGGTTAGTAGCCTAGCCCAACTTCCTCTGTATCGCTCAGGGCTCTGGAGAGTGCCGTTGACTCATCGACACTTGAAGTCCTGGCTAATTTGCCGAAATCTCGGTCTTGGCGCCTACAAACGTTCCCAAGTCGAGAACATCTCGAAAATACCAGACCTATTATTCCCACCGGAGGTCTCTTCCTTATCTCTTTCCACGCCCCAGTCACCTGTCTTTCCTTAAGATATATAGCCTCATTAGAGCAACAGTCCCCCATGAGCCATGATCCCAAATTTGTATATTATGATTTAACTTCTTTCTTGTGGGTATACGTAGCGTCATAAATTTGTAGTGGGTGACGGTTGGTAACAAATGCGGCCAGCTCCTATTTACAATTGGAGTGACGTCTTTATCGTTTGTTGAGGCGATGTGGTGTGCGTGTGGAGAGGTTAAGGCAGAGGAGTCTCGTTAGAATGACAAAACCGACTTTGATGAGAGGTCGCCGATTATATATGTGTCTGTGTTTGCTTTCGACCTCGATTCGGATGCGATTCTTCTTGGATATCCCAGATATACAGAGCATACTGAGCGATTACTCCGGCACCACTGAAAGGTGAAGAATTCGTCTTTGCCAGCTTATTCATTCATACATTCGTCCTAGGTTCATCTAGGAAGACCGCCATTCCTTCGTATATGTTGGCACGGATTACCTTCGGTGCCTGCATAACTCCCAATCCTTATATGTCACATGGCCATATACAATCCCTCTGGGGTAAAAAGGGTATAACTTGAGACTATTTTGTTTACAGTGTCTCTAGGATCCAAAATGTTAACCTTGGGACTGGGCTGTTTAAGGGATAAGCCCTGCAGGCGCAGCTCAGCTAGTTCGTAATAGGTTAGACTGTCTCTCCTCATTATCCCGCTCGCCATAAAGTGTGGTCCAATCGTATTGTTCAAGCAATCGGAAAGAGAAACACTTTTTCAACAACACTATTGACTGCCTAACCTACACAGCCCTTGAAACCGGAGGACGAAGTCTGAACACCTGTGAGTGGTGCCCTCTACGAACCTGGGAGTGAAATATTCTCCCAGAGCCGTGATTCAGTCACGAAAAAGGGTGGGATGATTTTTAATTGATGGATTTTCGACTTGAAGGAGTTGCACTCGATATTTTGGTCGAAAAATCAGTCGGCAGAGATTTCACAGCCGGAACAAAGTCGAACAAAAACTCATCACCACCAAAATACGATTCACGAATGGGCCTAGGTCTGTCTGGGAGTCGTATTCAAATATCCGACATCTCTCAAACTCCTTATATATTTGCGACGATCCATTTCTCAGCCGATCTCACACCTGCGATCCACCTCTATACTCGTTACGTCACCTAACTACACACGTCCTAATGAGGAAAGTCATGATGGAAACAGGACGTGTGAAAAGGAGGAATAAAAGGGAAGATACACCGAGGGAATTAAACAAATCCCCAATGACGAAAGCAACCCGACGGTACGATGTGAAGGTGCAAGGCTAGAGCAGCGATGAAATATTGGACGGCATTTATATTTTGGAGTCAATGAGGATGTCAAGGGCTCAGGCGCGTGGTGGCCGAGGCTGAGGAGGAAATTGCGCTACGGCGTGTATACAGCTGGTTTCTGGACGGTCAGGCTTGGTATGATTCAACACAAAAGTGAAGTCTGAGGTGGTCCGGTCATTAAAGTGGGACGAGGTTTATCTGTACTTCACGGTAGCTAACCTGATCCGGCCCGACCCCACTCGTGTTTAAGCTCCAGTAGGAGTGCAACGGTAGTCATGTAACCTAGCACATTCATGAACAAGACAGCCCTTGAAACCCAAACTCATCTCGCGGCCCTCTCCACAATCGTCTCACCACCCACCTAAGCAATCCTATACCTCCAAAAGCCAAATCGCCAACTAAGAAGCAAGAGGATGTCCGACCCTCCGCAACTGCCAGTCGCTGTGAAGGTACGGTCGAAATACCGGCCTTAAATGCGTCCTCACCTCGGCCAAGGGCACCAACAACTCGACCTACGACGAATCGCCACCGAAGAAATCCGTACGACATTTCGCCGGCACATCAACAGAGCGTTCGAAAAATGCTGGGGCATTGGTGCTTCGGTCTTGAGCTCTCAGTCGCGTTTTCGACCTCCACGGTTAGGGGTACAGCAGCGACAGGGCGAGGCCGGAGGGGTGGACATTCTACAAAGTTTCTGAGATGACGAGATCGGCTGAAGGATAGAGGGATGCTGCATGAAGGAACCAAAAAGGAATACAAACTGAGGAAGCCTTGGTGGGCAACTGGATGAAGCCTCCAGTGAAGAAGACGACCCCTGGATGAGATGAGGAGATGCTGAGATGAGCCTAAGCTGGGAATGAGTCGAAGAGAAAAGTTACAGATTGCGAAGGTGTCAAGGGCTCGGGCGCATGTTGTCCGAGGCTGAGGAGGAATTTGCGCTTCGGCGCGCCAGAAGGGGGTTTCATGGACAGTTGGGCTTGACATGATTCAACACATGGGTGAAGTCTGAGGTGGTCCGGTCATATAGGTGGGTCGAGGCACTTGTACTTTACAGTAGCTAGCCTGATCCGGCCCGGCCCCATCCGTGCTTATACTCCAGTAGGAGTGCAAAGGGAATCACTTTACCTAGCACGTAAATGAATAAAACAAAACAAAAACAGCTCTTGAAACTTAACACCACTATGAATTCATCCTCTATTCAAGCAAACAATGTCTCTCGAAAAGTCTGCTTCAGAAACTAAAGTTCGCAAGCATCTAACTCACGATCAATGTATTGAAATAAGAACATTAAGAAGGCTTGACTTGACATTACAACTTATATCCGACGAACTTGGCTTCACAAGAAGGCAAATGCAATTTGCGTGTGCTCGAGAGACTGAGAATCCTACACCTCGCAAAAGATGCTCACCTAAATTAAGCGCGGAACGAGTTGATGAGCTTGAGGCTTTCGTCCGGGAATCTCCAGAAAATCGACGGATGTGCTATTTGGAACTAGCGATGGGGCCCTTCATCCACTGGGGATGCAATGAGCACTAACTTTCAAATGCCCTCAATAAAATCGGTTACAGCAGATGCATTGCTCGGAAGAAGCCTTCGTTAAGTGCGGTTAACATGCACGAAAGATGTATAGCGGTGATAAAGGAAAACGGAGGGTACACAAAGTATTAGGATGGAGCAGACTAATACAAAACATCTAGTACGCTTTCATTTTGGTTGCGAGCCATACTGAGGGCTTCGATGTAGACTTTTGTAGTACAGAGCAATTATTTTTGAAATAGATGTGTATTTTTAGATAATATCAATTGATTTTCTTTAATTTTTAATTTTAAATGAGGACCATTGCACTTTTCATTTGGTGTTGAAAACCGTCCCCATTAATTTTGACTTCCACGGAAGATCGCTGGATATCACCCGTGCTTGCATAACTAGTCGATAAACTAGACATGGGTCTGCATGAAGACCATACCAATCTGATCGAAATGCACAGGGATCTAACCCCAGTCATTTTGACAATTTTACCTTTGACATCCTTAAGAGACTATTGTGGATCCAGAAGATTCGGATCATGGTACTCCCGTGCAAGGTTCGGAATAACTATCACACACACCACCTTTGTAGAATAGTAGTTTTTAGATAAACAGAATATGTACCATACAGATCACAACAGACCTTTACATACAGATATACATGTTCATTAAGGGCCTAGTGATATTGGTATTCATGACGCATAAATAAGTGTTTGCTTGCAGACAGAACGTCATTTACTTCATTTTTATTCTACTATTTGTATATTGTCAAGCTATACAAATTATAAAGCATGCGATATGGCTAGTCATAGCGGCAACGAGTACTGTGCTACTGACGGAGAACACGATCCTTTTAAAAAGGTTCGCGCGTCGATGGAGAAGATGGATGAAGATTACAAGGTCCTCAGCAAGAAGGTAAACGACAATCATGATGAGATTAAGGATATGATTGTCAATTTGACGAAGCAGGTGGCACAGCTAGCAAAGTTAAAGGACGTTAAGGTCGCTGTGGAGGAGGAAAAGACACCAGAAACTCCTCCTACAGCACAGGTGGTTTTACCCCCATTCCTTGCCAAGCCACCTCACTCTGAGCATCACCCTGCTGACACTCTCCGTTATTCTGACGGTCAATTTAATCTTCACAAGATTCGCCGCGTCTGCTATGCTGACGACCGTGAGAAAACTATCCATAGAATTTGGTCAGCCGTGGTACTACCATCTCAGATAGACGAAAGAGCCGAGCATTCAGCCAAAAATAAGGTCGTCATCCCACAAGCACTTCGAAAACACAGAGCCGAAGAGAAGGTATTTGAGAAGCTTGAGGCCATTCAGATAACCGTCAGACAGCTCTTGTTACTTACCACCTTTGGGCGGCTTGAGTATCTCTCGAACTCGATGGAGATTTCAAGCACGTAGCAATATGGGCTCAGGCTCATTCACCATCTTGGGTCCTTCTCGCTGAAGCAATAATTACAGTCTTTCGGTTTCACAACAAACTAGATGCAAGCAAATAATTATTTGTGCGTCTTGTATACCAATATCACTAGGCCCTTAATGTACATATATATCTGTATGTAAAGGTCTGTTGTGATCTGTATGGTACATATTCTGTTTATCTAAAAACTACTATTCTACAAAGGTGGTGTGTGATAGTTATTCCGAACCTTACACGGGAGTACCATGATCCGAATCTTCTGGATCCACACCGTAACTAAAGCTAACTATACTTGAATTTAGATTAGATTTTATTATAGTCCCATCTGAGTCTATAACTATGGAGGACTCCTAGAATACTATACTTGAATATGCATCCGTTCACGAGACTTAATGAAAATAAAATACACATTTCCTATCTTATGTACATCAATCAGAGTCCACAAGTGATCCAGCTCTGTAGAGCCAATATCAATGTCTTCTACTTGTGTCCTAAACGGAGCGAGTGATCTGTCTTCCTACCTCTTGTCTAATATCCTAAGGTCTGTGTCACGTGACCCATTCTTATTCATCACAACATTGCATGCAGACTTCCTGTCCGAATCGTAACCACTAATAGTCAGGTAAATATATGACCCATCAAGTTTTTAACTCATAATAATATTGTATATTCTTGGTCTCAATACTAACCACAACAAGATCAGATGGTAGGGTTGAAGCCTTACTCATCAACCACCCTCGATCACGGAGGAAAAGCCATCCGATGAGTTTCCGGAGAGAACCCAGCACCCGATACCGAGACGACTGTTACAAAGAGGGGAGATATAGATGAATATGCGCGCCTCATGTGGCTCCTCTGTCTAGGCCTCACCTGACTGGGGCTACAGGTTTTTGAGAGTTTTCATTGTTTTTGGGTCGAAGCATCTGTGGAGAAAATGGCTGAATTCCACTGGAAAATACTGGACTGAATGGCTATCCATCACCGGCAATTCACCAATGATCTTTAATGTAAAAAAAGAGGATAAGAGCTGGACAAGAGTTTTTCAAATTGTACTTCGTGCGTACCATGCTTCCGATTGCGAGGGCGCAGCTGACACTATAAACACAAGTTAGCGATGGAAGTTTCTGTTGTCATTCTCCTGGTGGTTGTCTCCGGTATGGCTTGAGTAGCCTAGACACCTACTCCACTTGGGATGGAGATGCTTCACGCCATATTTCGCACGGAGACAAGAAAATGGATGATGGAGGCATGTCTGGATAACTAAAGGTTTTTGAGACGTTCCCCTGGGTGGGTATTCACGGATGAGGGTTGACTTGGGGTGAAGAAAAAGCCGGCATAACTTCGCAGTGGTACTTGTAAATGAAATCCGAGGTGTGAGTGTTCTTCTTTTAAATTGAGTCATCTGCTGAATACTATTTCTCCGATATTGTGTCATGGCTAGATAACTGTATACGTAATTAAAATCTGACGCAAAAAAATCCCCATTGAACGAAAGGTGCTCACGCAGTACAGCTGCTCTTGTATACATAAGTAGCATGAAGCACTATTTTTTGAAATTAGCCTGCCTAAGTCATTCGAAGAGACTGTAATGTGGTATTGAATAAAATTGAGGACCAAAATATACAAACCTATGTTTTTCTCAATTTCCAGCATCGTTGATTTCTTCTCGTTATCATTTCTCTATTGATCCTTGACAGTCGTGATATCTTTAAACTGGGTAGGCGGCCAATATTTGTGACCTAACAACCTTGACCTATCCCATGAAGAATCATCAAATATTCAATACCAATACCAATGACACTGCCGTAGTCAGACCATTTGGACAAGCATAACCATGCGGAACTCAATCCCTTCGTATCATTTGGCATTGATCAACTTTACAGGGACAAGCTCCCGGGTTAGTGGTGGATCCTAGAGCCCTGCCCCAGCTAGAATTGCCAGGCAAGGCAAGTTAAAGCCGTAGCTAGCCCTATATTCGGGAACTTGCTCGGTAACTCCAGGGTTACAGGGATAAACAAAGAGTACGGCATTGGGCATTTGAAAGAGCTGCGTCTCATTAAATTCATGTAAGGAATTTTTTGCAGCTCTTAAGCGTGCAGATTTAGGTCACCGAACACGTCCTGACGAATTGTGAAGCGCCCAAAAAAATTTGACCCCGTTATTTTTGAAGAAACCTCCTATTAAATCGGAGCCATGTGTTAAGTGAAAGATCTACAGCTCTTTCGATATCTGAATCGGTGACTGACTAAGCAGCAGCCTCTCTATCGCTCTATCATGATGCTCGGGCACTTGCCAAGGGCTCTGGGGTAACTCGTGGATTGCAGCCCCCTAGTTTTGATCTTAAATTTCCCCACTATGTACCAGGAGAAAGAATAGCGTCTCGTCTATTAAGTACCTGGCACCACTAGCTCGCCGTGCATACGGCGCCCTAGGCATTCCATCGATCTCGCAGAGCTCTGGAAGATACCTAGCCAAAAATTCCCTGAACTATACCCGTGGAGATCTCGCGGATCACCCAAGGTAGCACGGGATATCATCAACGATTACTTGTTGACACCTGTAGTTTCCCCCTCAGCAAGATGTGTGAAGCTCTCTTATGTCTCGCAATAAGGCATAGATCCTCTTTGTAAATGAGAAGTCAGAGCATGTCCTCTGGTTGATCGCAATCAACTACCGACTTAAGCGGAGTTCAGGCCTCCAAAAATGCTATGGCACGTTTCCCGAAATCTTCGGCTCTCACAATAGTTCCATCGGATTAATGATGTTACGGTCCGCTTAGATTCCCAGGCTCATAGTCACCTTAATTGCGTACTTTAGCGAGCGGATGGAGACGTACGACGCAGGGTATGAGTAGACAAGGTGAAACCGAACCCGGAGAGACGTAGCCGACCACTTAAGCGCGCCCATGTTAGGCTATCTAATTTGAGATTGACATTTAAGCTCGCGCACGTACTTCCGATTTACAGCTTGAAGGCCTGGAATGTGCCGCGTAAACCATGCACTTCAGGGCTTATTATTTATGGGACAAGCCGGTTATCCAGTTGATAGATTACTCCGTTTCAACTTCCCAGAATGAGCCGTGCAGGCCTTGAAACAAGATCATATCCCATTGATCAAGAGTGGTCGAATCCTATGTCTCTGCTTAGATGGGCTTCTCATGCTTCGATTCTATGGGCGTGAACACTTTAGTACAGCGATAGCTACCGCCACAACAACCCCAGTTCGAGTCATGACGCACCTCCACCATCTCTGTCTCTCCCTACAGTCTCAGCTACTCGTGTTTCAGCTAATCCAACCCCTACCATACTGCTCACGAGGTAATTGAGATTGCTGCCGCACTACACCTGCTCTCAATGTTGCCGTTCCCTTGATGATCCGACAAAGGAGCACTTGCGGCGCAATTACTACATGAATAGTTTTCTTATTTGTAAATTTAGCGCGCTTCTTCTCTTAGCTGATTGAGGTTACAAATATTATTCTTTGAAATCACAAATTCGTTGGAGATACTGGCGCATACATTGTCAGAGTTCGGGATACAACTTCTGATGCCGATGGTGCATCCGATCCTGAACTTCATTTGGATCCGACCGGGCATTTTCGGGGAATAGGGGTTCACTTGTTTGGAACCAACAAATCTCAGAACTAGAGAGACCCGTGTTAGTCAAGCGTAGCTGTAGTTCGCTGCTAATCGCTCGGATAAGTTCTTGTCCCAACGTGCAAGCGGGGCGAATCTATGCGATACTACTCGTATGAGGCTCAAGCATCAACAACCCGTGACTGTTCAGTGCGATTAGGCGAACCTTATTCCCTTGAAAGCTTATTTTAATTTTTTTTAATTCCGCTGGCACCCGGTCTATGCCAAGATATTTTCATAATATCCATCCAATTGTTGCAGCCTTACATATGTTTTTTATCTCAACCTTTTTCAAATTTCTCCCTGCAGTCAGCTCTGGAGTGTACTATGACACCAGAACTGATCTACTTCTTGCCAAAGCTAAATAGACCTTGCAACCAATTTATGATGCAATGACCTTCAAAAGTCCACCTACAAGTGGTGGATTGATATGGCTTTTTGAGTATATTAGTCTTGCTCTTTCCCTTCTTGCAGATTCATTATGTTAGCAGGAGAAAACAGCGGCAAGCTGATCTAGCGTTCAAAGCTGTTTGGCCATAATTAATACTTAGTCAGGTTAGATGGAAACTTGTTTGTCTTGATTCTTCGGCTGTGCTAATTTACTGTGGCCTGCCTGTCCAATTATAGAACATAAATCCGGAAACCGGAGTGTGGGTGTACAAGTCACATGATGTTTGTGACTTGACACCTCAGGCTATGATGCTACTTACACTGGATGCCCCTAGTGTCAGTCCCTTATCTGCCTCGACGTCTAGCATGACTTAATCATTCAGCCAATTCTAGACCAGCTCGTGTGGTCAAAAGTGTTATATGGTTTGAATTTAGATTCTTGCTTTTGCAACACCTCTTTCCTCTGAGATGAGGAGCCGGTAAGTTCTTTCATGAGAAGTCGCTTCCATATCAATTTTCACTAGTTGCAACCCCTGCTTGGCAAGTTCTGCTACCGCTAGCCCCCAACACTCTAACCCTCCCTTTGATCCTCGCATCGCGTACCCCTTAACCCTTCATCCGTTCGCTCCTTTTTTTCAATTCCAAGGATCTGCTTGGCTACTCAACACCTAATCAGGCCTTGGCCCCCCCCCCGTAGTAAACCATCACGACAAGAGTCCGAGCCTCAATACATCGTCAATCATATAAGGCCTTTCATTATATCTATCTTTACTCACCGACGTGAACCTCATTCTTTACATTAATAGCAGCATCAGCAGCAAACTTACACGCCTCAAATCCTCTTATTATACTTATACATTTCTGTACCAATTCTATTTATATTTACTCTTAGCTAGCAACAAACCCAAAACTATCGTACCATTAGGACTGACTGAACAACTAGACTGATGGAATGGAATTATGAAAACTCATGGAAACCTTCAACGGATACTTTCCATTACGGTATGGGATTCCGAAAACATAAGATGCAAAGCACTTCAACGGAGAAGAAGACTCCGCACCCTCTTGTACTCACCCCTGCGAACAGACCAACAGAAGACAATTATAATAATTACAAATTCTCCTCGACGGCAAACTCTAGCCAATTATCGCTACTTGAAAGGAGCCGTGCCTTGACTGGAATTGGCACCCCCGATCCACCTCCGACGCCGCCAACGAACTCGAGACAATGGAATCAGTACCACCATCTAGATGCGCTCTCACCTCCATGTGATGAATCTATCACGGGCAAATTAGACATTGTATCCCCCAACACACCTCACAGTGTTCGCAGTCCTCCAACCCCTGATGTCACACCTCCTAGGCTTCAACGGTCAGAATTTCTACAGCCTACCCACAATCTTTACTCATCACGCTCAAACTCATTCATCACTGCGCGCGAAGAGCCGTATTCATCAGACGAAGATTATGGAACTACCATGAACTCAGCAACTTCATTGATTAGGACCCCCGTTTCTAGTTCAGCAAACATTTCAGCAGACCAGAGACCTCGTCTCAAGAGCTCAAACTTAGAATCTATTATTTGTAAGGAAAGAGTATACTCCTACCTAGGACCCATGGACACTCCGCCCTCGGAAGATGAGTTGTATAGTCGCCAGTGGGCAACTGAGGAAGATGCAGAAGACCTACTGCAGCCCAACAATAAATCCAGCTCATATCAACACACAAGCAGCCAAAAAACAAACAAATCTTTATTGAGTCAAGATGAAGGAAGCTGTTTTATGTATTCAAGTGAAAGTAAAGATCAAATAACAGAGAGCGACCACAAAATTTCATCAATATCAGATAAGAATTACTGCCATCACTCGCGACCAGACAATCCCCTATTTACTCAAGATCAGCAGCCTCGGTGGTTCCCTGAAAAAAGTCAGTGCTCAAGGTCTTCAGCTCCTGATTCACCTCCACTTACATCCATGTCAGCCCTTGGTGCAGCAAATATTTACAGGGCTCATCGAAGATCTGTGTCAAGTGATGTTATGGGACTAGAGACTTCCCCGGTATTCATGAAAACACTTCGACACAGAAAAAAGCATTTAGGATTGAGAGAGTTCAGCGATCAGATGCTCAAAGACTCAAACAACACAACGTGCTCAAGCGACCTTCACATGCAAAATGCTAGAGATGATTCTGCTAAAATTCCACCAATCAATACCAATGCTCGGGCTGCTTCAGCTAGATCCCTTAGTCCTGCATCAAATTTCCGTTATCGTCAGGAAATTATAAGGAATGGAGGGATACCAGTTCTAGTAATTCCAGAAAGACGTACTCGCACAAACTCATCGCAGTCTCAGTACCCGGGGTCTATCAAGAGTCATAAAAACCGCTTCAGCGTCTCTCTCGGCTCAAAGACACTCTCTGATGCATGGAAACTAAAAACCCCTGAAAATAAAGATCAAACTGGATTTGCAAGCCAAATATTCACAGAGTCTGCTCTATCTGGGAATTCAGCGCGTACAATTGATTATCCCCCTCTTGTTCCACTAAGAGGTTCCTCTATGGCAGCACAGGTGGGCTATGAACCTATAGTAGCACCTGGTTCTTTGACAGTCGAAAGTCTGAAAGCTCATGATGTTCAACAAGCGGAAATCCCTTCATCTGACATCTGTGACTCTGCTGTCCCCTCAGCGAAGAACACCGACGCATTGAACAGCTTTGATCATTACTTAAACACCAAATATAACAGTGAACAGTTCTCTCCAGTTGATCCACAAACACAAGTCACTCCATTTTCTCAGAAATCATATGAGACAGCCGGAACGATGGCAGAAGTTTCCGAAGCTCTTGCAGTCTCTTTCTTTCCTCACCAGAAAAAATCAGTTGTGGTTGTAGATAATCCTACTGCTACGGAGCCTTGTAATTCTCTAGAGTCCGAATCAATCAGCTCTACCCATTCCATCCTAAACGTAACTCAAGTAACAAAAGCCACTGCATCAGAGCCAACGACTCCTTTACCTTGTAAAAAAAATGTAATGGCTCATGTTGACTCTCCCTTCCGCAATCCTCGAGATCCACCAGCTCCCCCTTCTATTAAGCTCATACCGCCTACTCCTTGCGAGCTAGAGCAGAACCCCCAAACTGTTAAGAAACTACCAGCTTCGATCGATAATGCACCACCAGAAAAAATCAAGTCGCTCATACGTCGCATAAGCGGTCGTCGAGCTTCTGAGCCCACTCAGCCATATCGATTTATAAAAAGAACAATGTCCCTCAGCACCAGGAGAAAGCATTCATTGCGTAGCCCTATTCATACGACATTTGGTGATGATACTGCGTCCTCATACAACAAGACAAGAAGCACAGCAGTAGACAACGACAAATCACGGTCTTTTTGGAGGCCGACAAAGTTCTGGAATGATATAGAGGATGACGACGATTTTGAATGGGATCATCGAGTTTATCCGGCTCCTAGTGGGTCAACGAATCTCAGGAGATCGATTAGTGAGAGGCTCCGAAAAAATACTCGAATCTACCCGTCTGTCGATCGCGAACAAAGAATTTTAAAAGCAGCGGAATTCCATACAAATTCTGGGCCTTCAGAAAATGGTAATGATTTGACGAGAATAAAAAGCAAAGCAGGAATTGGATGTGATGAGCTTCGGAATCTACGATGTAAGGAAGGGATTTCTGGCGTTGACGAGATGTCTGGTGCCAGTAGACGACAGGGATCTAGAGTTGGGGTCTTTGTCGAGAGTGTTGGATGGGGTGAAATTAGACGCTGGGTGGATGAGAAAAGACGTGCACGACGTCGAGAGGAGCTAAGGGGCATGATCGGATCTCCAACGATCATAAGAAATAATTTTGGTATATTAAGTAAGATGTCATCACACGAAGAGCAAGTCAATTAAGCGATATTCTTCACACTAATTACAATTGGATACTAACGCGAGGTGGATCAAGTTTTATATTCTAAAGTGTAATTTTTAGTTGATATTTTGGATACCTGGTTTCTGGATAAGAAAGTAATTTAAATGATACGGGATATGAAGACAGGATAATGAATTACACGTTTAACTCCACTATCAGATTTCGAAGTTCAAGTTATTAAACTCTTGTGCAGGATGGTATTTTGATACCGGTGATACTAACGAGTGCCATGCAAACTATATGGTGCTGCCTATTCACTTTTTAGAATTTGTTTTTTAGTCAACGTCGTGCCAGCCCACAACACAATCGTAAGGTCTCATGTTGGCCAGCCTAGTCTATAAATATTACCCGACGTGCCAGCGCTTTTGACCAGGCCCAAATTGTAATATGTGGGCCAATGCTACCTTGTCTTAGGCATGATATGTCGAAAGAAGTCAATGAAACTTTCCCACGAAGGCTGTTGTTTTAAGGTACATTAACTGCTAGCAAAGACGAAATCTTTACCCTCCAGTGATGCCAGTGTAATCGCTCAGTTTACCCTACATATATGGGATATCCAAGAAGGATCGCATCCGAATTGAAGTCGAAAGCAACCTCAAGAATATCTCTATTTGAAGACTTCTCAACAATGCCTCAATTATCATTCTCATCTGAGTCCTCAACCTCTCTTTAATCGAGCTTCGCATCGCCTCAACGACTAATAAAGAAGTGTTGTAAAGGTAAGAGCTTACGGAGGTTAATTGGCAGAAGGTTTACGGATGATTATCTATGAATCAATGTGAACTGCTGATATATTTGATATTCAGAACTATGAGGATTTGAGAGGTAGAAAGCGCTAATTATATACACATCTGAGGTGGCTAGACTTTCGCATTATTTACCCAAAACAGTATCACGGAATATTCTAGTCTCCTCCATCTGGTAGTATAATCTAGAAATACTTTCTATACAGTGCTCCATTATTCCTCTAGTAATCATGAAGCCACCTGGAAAGTTCTTCCTTCACCCTCAGTGATCATTACCCTTGTGTATTGTTATCCTAGGCATCACCAGCACAACAAGAAGTTGCTCCAATAGAAAACAGGAGCTCGCCCCATAACTTTCCAGTCATATCTCCCTACATATTTACGACACTATTTATACCCGCAAGGAGGAAACCAAGTCAAAAAATACAAAGGCTGAGTCCTGGCTTATGAGGGACTGTTGCTCTAATGGGATAAACAACTTTGGAAAGTTTGTGGGCGCCAAGACCGAGATTTCGGCAAATTAGCCAGGACTTCAAGTGTCGATGAGTCAACGGCACTCTCCAGAGCCCTGAGCGATACAGAGGAAGTTGGGCTAGGCTACTAACCAGTAATCACGCTCTGTCAAGACTTTTCTGACATTTCAGCACGACCTTCGGGAAGGACCTTGAAAGAGGCTAGAAAGGCAGAGTGTGAATTTCCCGAGATACACACAAGTCTGTAGCGCCTAGCTGGTCGGCCTCTTCAAACGCTTCGCAAGGGTCACTATGTCTTCGGATCTAGTCCTAACGTCGGTTTTAGAAGAGTTCTGCACCCAGTGGTTTTTGCAAATGTCCCGGCTGCTATACACGCGCGAATGGCCAGCGTTTCGTCGGCTGGAGAGGGGAGATAATGAGGGGCAAAGGGCTCCTCTTAGTGTATGATCGAATGAGGACTTGTGAGGGGCGGTACAGTTTGAGGGGAGCTGTATGGGAGGTATAGGAGGGGATATACTACTGGTATAGGTATCCTTGGCCTGTAGACAGAGAGGACCTATACATCCTACATAGTCATAGACTCAGACAGGACAGTAAAATTGATTAATTATAATGAGTACAGTAATTTCAGAGTTTTCATCATAGATAATGTTACAGCTATATTGACGAGTCACATACTTTTCGAGAACACTCTAAACAGAGACCGAGTGAAGAGTGTGTTTGTTTGTTGTACTATTTGAGTCATTGACTATCTAGCATATTGAGCTCCTCTCTAGCCCATGCCATGCATTGTACAGTACTCCTTGCCTCTTTTGTTGCTTAAAAGATCATTGATATATTGCCCGTGATGAATAACCATTTAGCTCGGTATTTACCCGTGGAATGCAGCCAACTCGTCCACGGAATCTCCTACCCTAAATAAGAAATAGAATGGTATCAATGGAAACTGCGTGTGCAGGAAAAACTTCAAAAAACCTGTAGCTCCAGCCAGGCGAGGCCTAGATACCGGGACCACATGAGGTGCGCATATTCATCGACATCTCTCTTCTTTGTAACATTCGAGGTCGACTTGATCCAATCCACCATCTCCGTATCGGGTGCTGGGTACGCTCCGGAAACTCATCGCATGGCATCTCCTCCATGATCAAGGGTTGGTGATGAAAAGGGCTCCGACCCTACCATCTGATCTTAACGTGGTTAGGTTCATGATAATGGGGATAGGGGGATGTGTTGAGAGACGAAGACGATACAGACCGCGCAAGCGATTGGGAATCCCCATGGAAATGAGGACTTCGTCCATCAATCTCGGCTCTGCAGACTCTACAGCGAGAGCTTGAGATTCGAAGGGTACACCACTGACAGGTGTTGAGAATAGTCCCCCACTAGAGAATGATTCGAGGCCCCGCACCGAATCAATCTTTCTCTCCCAACAAGATTAATTCCAACTAAGGCCCTACATATTTACCAGATCGACACACTAAGTAATTATCTCGATGAACACAATATTCTTCGACTTTGTCTCTAGCCCCAGCTAGCCTCCAAATATATGCCTACCAGAATCCGATTACTCACAGGAGGCCAAAATCGTTGTGCGAAAATCTTGGGGACACACCATTGATGTAAATACGGGGGAGACCTGAGCAGGTAGACAACATGATGTTATGTACACCATTTCGATACAAGTGTAGGATTGAGTTTCGGTAAGGAGTTTTTCTCAATCAGGAGAGTGCAGACAATACCAGAAGTAAAGCGATGGCTGCATGGTGCAGTGGTAGGCCATTCACACTGATCTCCAAAGTAGTGTCCGGATAGCGTAGACACACATTCAATTTGAGACAGCAGACTGCCGGTCTGAGACTGGCTAAGTTCGACCATATTTCTCACAGTGCTCATGGATAACGTAATGGAAGCATGCCTTAATAATCAAAGGCTTTGAAACTTCCATTTGATGGTTACCTGCTGGTATGAATGTTATAGGCCTTCTCTGGGAATGTTTGTCAAATATTAGTCGTCGCTTATCGCGAAAATTTGGTATTTTTTTTTAATTCATAGTGTATTCATCTATCTAGCTATGACACATCTGATTATTTTATATCTAAATACAAATATTTAACCCCCATTTCCTCTACTTATCTTCTAGTCTCCTCCCTTTCAGTCAGCCGTGGATGCATTCATGCATCCACGGCTTTGAAGGAAGTGGAGAGTTGCTTCTTTTCCAATTTTTGTATTAGACAATATCTCTAATCTCAATGGCAATATGCCTTTAAAAGTATCCTCTCTTTCAGTCTTAAACTTACTACAATAAAGAAGTAGGTGTTGAACAGTCTATCTTCCCTTCCAACAAAAGTTGCCAGAGTTATCCTTCACTTTTTTAATTCGAAATAGATGGGCCCTGGTATTTCCGATCCCTATTCTCGCCTGTATAAATGAAGATTGTGTCATTCTACAGTGATGACTGAAGTTGTATGGCCTCATTTTTATCGAAAAATCGTTGCTTTTAGAGAATAGAGGAATAGATGAGATCAACCAACACAATCGCAGAAAATTGTCTTATATTTTATGTCCTTTGCACCGTCAAAGTATCTCCTTAGTTTTTACGAACGAGTATGGACTATTTTGTGTAGAACGAAAATATTTCAAAATGATAATTGCAAATGAAATCCAGAGTATCAGTGCCTCTGAACTCGTAACAGCTATAATACATGTATGCAAGTCACTGGTCATTTGCCGCAACAAGAAAGCTCCATGGACCTTATATGATCTAAAATAGACAAATGTAGATGGGATCTCTTCTTTTCACCAAAGTATCGGTCGTATAAAAAATAGAATATTTGAAGAGCCGTCCACAGGTTGAAGCCATGGCTTACGTGGTAGCTTAAATGAGTAATACTCCATCCGACCTATCGGAAATATGGCAACATCAGCAGCGACGACTCCGCCCAAGTAGAGAATTAAGATGAATACTTGTCAGTGGTGTTCCATAAAAACTTGGACTTTGGAAATTTCTTCACAGCCAAGGCTCTCTTACGAATCAGCTTAGAATCAGCTCCATTGGATGAGTCGTCGGTATGAAATCTTTCTTTTCAATATTTCCCGACCATGATATCTACCCCAGGCACGATAAAGAGATGCAAGACCAGAATCTGGAAAGATATAGAAACGGAGATGATAAGAGCCTCAAAGACTCGAGCCAGAGGTGGTTGTATCTGAGGAGGCCCTACCTTTCATCGTGCCTATATTGAGTTTTCTAGGAGGTCAGACAAGGTGCAACCCAACATATGCGTGAAGTTTCGCGTGTATTGGTCGTTCATTGGGAATAAAGATTTTCTAATTGGCAGTGGCTAAACAGATGCAGTCCAGCTGAATTTGTGCTAAAGCTTTAAGAGAAGTGTGGAGGCCGCTAATTGCATAGCACGTTAAGTCAAAGAGCAAAGATTGGAAACGACGGCTTCGCTAAGAGTGCACAAGTGATTCTCCTGTGATGATGATGATACTTTTATCGTGACCGGATACTACCCCAGCACCCAGAGGACGTGGCACGAGTAGTCCAGATCTATACGACTCTTCGCTACCTACATCATTGTTTCGTAGAAACTTGAACACACAAAACTAAAACAAATAAAACACCAACTCTAATGTGCTAGCGCCCTGCGCTACACCTTCATTCTCGTGCCACACCGAACGGTGCCAAGAAGAATTACAGTTGACCTTTACATCCCCTGTTCACGATTCAATCTTGCTGTAACACTTTGTTACAGTTAA